TTTACCCACTGAGTCATTAGACAAGCTCAGATTATATTATATGACAGTTTCTCAGGCTTTTAACTAATTAAAAATGAGTTAACAAAATCAAAATTTATTTATTTGTTGTTTTGTTTTTTTTTAAGACATGGATTCACTGTGTAGCCCTGGCTGCCCTGGAAACTCACTCTATAGACTGGCCTTGAGCTCACAGATATCCACTTGACTCTGCTCCCTAAATGCTAGGATTAAAGGCATGCGCTTCCACCACCCAGCTCAAATTTTATTTAATTATTTATTAAGATTTATTTTTTATTTTATGTGAATTGGTGTTTAGCCTGCATATATGTCTGTGTGAGACTATTTGTGAGACTATTGGATCCCCTGGAACTGGAGTTACAGGCAGTTGTGAGCTGCCATATGGGTAGTGGATATTGAACCCAGGTCCCCTAGAAGAACAGCCAGTGCTCTTAACCACTGAGCCATCTCTCCAGTTGCCTCAAATTTTATTTTAAAACTTGTTTTTCTCTAAGCTTTAACTAGATGTTACAGAAGTTAAAGTCCATTCATTCTTCAAGATTGGCAACACTGTCCTGGGTGTTTAACAACCAAAGCTGGGAGGCCTGAGCCAACAAGGACAGGGTCTGTTAGGGGCTCTTTCTCTAAGGCCAGTCAGGACTCTGGGAATGACAGGACCGCTCCTAAAAGCAGCTCTACAGGGTCAGTAAGTCATTTGTCCTCTTGGTCAGAGAAGCCATGGAGACACTGAGGTGGGAATATATATATGTGTGTCAACAAGGAGAGTCAATGGAGGGCAAAATGGACCCTGTGCTCAGTGAAAAGCCACATGGCCAACAAGACCCTCCTGTTTCCCAACAGGTGACATATGGGAAGAGGAAACATGAAAGCAAATACAGGCCAAGTGGTGGTGGCTCACGCCTTTAGTCCTAGCACTCCAGAAGCAGAGGCAGGTGGATCTCTGAGCTCAAGGCCAGCCTGGTCTATAGGGTTCCAGGACAGCCTCCAAAACTATAGATAGAAACCATGTATTTGAAAAACAACAAAAAAATGCAGTCATGATCATTTGAAGCTTCATCCATGGTGACACATAATGCCTTACAGGAATACTAACCTAGAGCCTAACCTCTTCTACTGTAAAAGTCACTACTCAGTAAGCTAACAAGACACCTGCCTGTCCACCTGCTAATGGAACTCACACACGTAACTGCCCCCTCTACTTCTATAAAGACCTTTCTGCTTCCTCTCAGTCCCATCCATGATCCCTCCTTAGGAACTTGCCCTCTACTGCAATGTTTTATAATGAATCTCTTTGTCTTTTTTTTTTTTTTTCTTTTGTAAATTCTTTTACCATCCACACCATCAAATTTCCAAATGCAGTTTCACACAGGAAGAAATACACAGCACATTAGGGGGACAAGAAAAAAAGAGTGCCTCACCCAAGTCTGGCTGAAGTTTCTCAAGAGCTGAGAGTCGAGAATTTTGAGATAAAATTCACTACATACTGCCAGCATAAAGATAATACTCACTTTTGTAGAGATATTTCAAACAAGAATATTACAGAGTGTTGTGGGCTGTGTTTTTTATCCCAATACTCAGGAGACAAAGGAAGATGAACTATGTGAGTATGAGACTAACCTGGTCTACATAGTGAGTTTCAGGCTACCTAGGGCTATACAATGATACTTATCTCAAAGCAAAGCAAAGCAAAACAAAAGACCAAAACAAAACCAACAACAAAATCTTAAGACCAAAGTGTTCCTTTGAGTTTATTCTTTTTCTAGCTGTAAACCTATAACTTTCTGTGACTCTTACAAACCGTATTATGAACTCTGTCTATAGTAAAACTTGCCTTAAGGCTGGCATGGCTGTCCAAACCTTTAACTGAACACCTGGGAGGCAGAGGCAGATATTTAGGAGTTCCAGGTCAGCCAGGGCTATACACATTGCAGCTCTGTTCAAACAACAATCAAACAAACAATCAAACAAAATCAGAGAAAAGACAAAACAAATTCATACTAAAGTCCCCGTCAGCACAGCTAGATTCCTCCAACCCCTTGACATATTAGTCTATATTTGCTTGTTTTTTGGCTGTGGGGGGTGGCTGGGTGGCAGGAGACAGGGTCTCACTGTGTAATTCTGACTGTCCTGGAACTCACTTTGTAGACCAGGTAGCCTCAAACTCAGAGATCTACCTGCCTCTGCTTGGGATTAAAGGCGTGTGACACTATACCTGGCTCTTGACTATGTTCTTATGTTAAGAGTTGTAACCAGTCTCACTCTCTCTGAAACCACTCCATGAAGTCATTTATTAAAAGAAAAAAAAAAAAAAAAAAAAAGCAAAACACAAAAAACAAAAACAGCTACTTAAAAACCCTCTGAGCAGTGCCCCATCCGAAGTCACCAAAACATGGTTCTTTTTCAGTCATGTAAGCATGACTCTGAAGAAGCCAGCACCATGTCCTGGGTGTGGACTGTTCTTGCCCTAGTGTGTCTCCCCACCTCTTGTTCTGTTTTTCTGTTTTGAGACAGAGTTTCTCTGTGTAGTCTTAGCTGTTCTGGAATTCACTCTGTAGACCAGGTTGGCCTCTTGAGTGCTTGGATTAAAGGCGTGTGACTGTGACACTACCGCCTGGCTTCTCTCTCTCTCTCTCTCTCTCTTTAAATTTATTTTATGTTCATTGGTGTGAGGGTGTCAGATCTCCTGGAACTGGAGTTACAGACAGTTGTGAGTTGCCATGTGGGTGCTGAGACTTCAACCTGGGTCCTCTGGAAGAAAAGTCAGTGCTCTTAACCTCTGGGCCATCTCTCCAGCTCCTTCTTTGTCTTAATGTCCATGCTTAAGACTACATTAAAACTTTTTCTTAGCCAACAGTAGTGGCCCACACCTTTAATCCCAGTACTTGGGAGGCAGAGGTAGGCAGATCTCAAGTGCATTCGAGGCCAGCCTGATCCACAAAGTGAGTTCCAGGACAGCCAAGACTGTTAACAGAGAAACCCTGTCTCGAAAAAAACCAAACCAACCAACCAAACAACAACAAAAAACCCCATACAAACAAAAAAACCCAAAACAAAAAAGAGTCCTAGCTCCACCTGAGTAGGTGTCTGAAAGAACTCAGGGCTTCAGCCAGGAGGGTAGAGCTAGCTATGTCTCCTGCATTCAGGGCCACCTCCATTTCCATCCAGACCAGAATTTCCTTTTCCCAAGGTGCATCACAGCAACTTTAATCTTGGTCTGCCTTTCTGTTGAACTATCCATAAATTCTTTGTCCTGTCCTTGTGTATGAGAAGGTCACCACAGCCTCCTCATTCTAGAAGGGTCACGTCCTCTCACTAGAAGGAGGAATGCTGCACAGAGCCAAGAATGTCAGCTGACAGGCCACTGCTGGACTTCCTGATTGCTCATCAGCAATTACATCTGTCTACATAAAAACCCAAAGAGCCGGATTCTGAGAGACCCTGAGACAGGGGGTCATGTGACTTCATGCATGCAGGAGGGTGGTACATCCTAACCTAAGGGAAGGAAAACTCCAGTGGCTTGTGAGCCTTCCACACCTCAACCATACGCCTGTCCATCTGGGTGTTTTATTTTGAGTTCAGGCTGGCCTCAACCTCACTATGTAGTCAAGGATGACCTTGAACTTCTGATCCTCTAGCCTCCATCTCCTCAGTGCTAGGTTTATAGCACATGTACCATACCTAGTCTTTACTTTGCTATTTTTAAGTCTCTCAGATTATCAGCCCCACCTCCCTGCCTTTTATTTGTTTCTGGTTGAACAAGTAAGCATGTAATACACACACACACACACACACACACACACACACTGCTTGTTTGTTTTTGCTTTTCAAGACAGGGTGTCTTTGTGTAACAGTTCTGGCTGTCCTAGAAACTCACTCTGTAGACCAGGCTGGTCTCTCACTCCCAGAGATCCACCTGCTTCTGCCTCCTGAATGTTGACTGGGATTAAAGGCTCAGGCCTATACCGCCCAGCTCACAATGCATGTTCTTTGTTGTTGTTGTGGTTTGTTTTGTTTTGAGACAGGGTTTCTCAGTAGCTATGAAGCCAGACCTGGAACTTGCTCTGTAGACCAGGTTAGCCTCAAATTCATAGAGATCCACCTGCCTCTGCTGGGATTAAAGGCGTGTCCACCCCACCCAGCCATAATCCATACTCTTAGGTGTGTGTGGGCCTGATTTCTCTGGCTGCTGCTCAGGCTCACATGCTCCTGTATATATATTCCTTCATCTTCTGTTGTGGGAGTTCTCAAAGGCCCAAGCTGAAGATAGGCTCTCCAGAGAAGAGCTGCACTGACCTCCACTAGAGGTAATTGGAAAACAACCTCTAGGCATGAGGCCTTTCAGGATGAGAATAAAGGTGAAACCTGAGGAAAGGTGTCCCTGTGTATCAAAGTCTTGGGGATGGATCTCTTCAGCCACTGCCAATGGGGTCAAGACAGGCAATCACCCTGTGGCACAGTGGTGTCCTTACAGCTCACTTGTGTGATAGGGCATAAGCCTCTGGGACTCAGCTGCTTATGGAGACCTGAGTCAGGTGTGGTGGCACACATTTGTCATCTCAAGTGTCTGGAGGCAGAGGAAGGAGGAGCTAGAGTTTGAGGTCAGTCTCATAATGTAAGACAGGTGCTGTACCCACACAGAGGACCACATGGTGAGACTCCACCCAAAATACAAGTAGGACAGTCCCCTGGTGAACCCCACACAGTCCAGGCCTTCCATTTCTCGTGCCCCTCAGACATCCTCCTGTCAACTCCAGAGTACAAGCTCAGGCCCTCTGGCCCTTTGGACCTCTGAAGGCTCCTTATTTTCTTGCTAGTCAGGCTTGTTATTCTTAGTTATTTTTATTGAGAGAACTGCTCAGGGTGTTTAACCGACTATGTAATGGCACATGGACTTCTAGGAAATTCATCCACTGTAAACTCCCACCCTCTAACCAAGATGGAAACAAGATAAAAAAAATACCACTCCTTTCAAAACACTGTACCTGAGTGACAGCTCTGAAACTTGTCCCTGCAGCAGGTTTAGTTTTTGGACATGGCGTCTACAATCAGCACCAGAACCTTCACCGTAAGCCTGAGAGGAAAACAAACAAAAACAACATATTCAAGAGGTGATAACAGAATGGTTTTTTTTTTTTTTTTCTTTTTCCCCTCCGAGACAGGGTTTCTCTGTGTAGCTTTGGAGCCTGTCCTGGCCACTACCACCCGGCTGTGAGAAACATTTAAGATGGTACCTGCAAAGTTTGAGGCAATATTAAGAATACCAAGGTCAGCCTGGCAGTGGTGGTGCATGCCTTTAATACCAGTTAGCATTCAGGAGACAGAGTCAGGTGGATTTCCATGAGTTCAAAGCTAGCCTGGTCTACAGAGCAAGTACTAGGTGACAGGACAGGTTCCAACCCCCCATCTCTACCCCACAGGTTTGACCACTCTTTCTAGAGGGTTTTTTGTTTTGTTTTCAAAACATGTTTCTCTGTGTATCCCTGGCTGTTCTGGAACTCACTGTGTAGACCAGGCTGGCCTCAAACTCAAAGAGTGGTGGGATTAAAGGGTTACACCACTAACAACCACCACCAGGCTCTGGAGGGGTTTAAAAGCAAGCTGGCTCTGGAACTTCAGGTCTTCCTGACCATCCTACTGGTATGCTGAATTTACCACAGCCAAACTGAGCCTGCACTATTGGTTCAAGCAACTGCAGTTGGAAAAACCTCAGGAGTCTGTCCATGCTAAACATGTATAGGTTTCTTCCTTGTCATTACTCCTGAAGCAGTGTAGCCTAGCACTGTACATAACATGCACACTATAAAAGCTATTACAAGTCACTGGAGGAACTGGGAGTGGTGGCACACGCCTTTAAACCCAGCATCTGGGAGGGAGAGGCAGCTGGATCTCTGAGATCCAAGATAGCCAAAGCTATGTAGAGACCCAGTGTCTTCCCCCAAAAACCAAGACAAGTACAAGGGAGGTAGTGGCATGAACCTGTATGTCCCAATTACCTGGGAAGCTGAGACAGGAGATGGAGGTTTCACCTGAACACAGGAGTTCAAGATCTCCTGGGCACTGTCATGATCCCATTCCTCACCCCTCAAGAAAGCATGCTGCAGTATATGCAGAGGTCACATGTCACTATAGAAGGGCCTCCATGGATACTGTGGGATGGCTGTGATTTGTGTGTGGCTTACAGGTGAAGTCCAACAGGACAAGGGGACATGTTTGTGAGCAGAGGAGATACGTGCTAAGTGCCCACTGTTCCCTGCTACCATATCTGCAGAGGAAGTTCTCAACACATGCTGGCCACAGAATCCCCGACTCTTGGTATGTGGGAGCTCTGTATATGATGTCCACACTGCAAGGTGGGTGGCACTGTAGCCCAGGAAAGCCAAGCTTTCCATCTGGACCAGGAACTAAAGAGGTGAGGTAAAAACCACTGAGAGGGAAGCAGGGCATCGTAGCACGTGATTCTAACTCCACTACCCAGAAGGCAGAGTCAGGAAGACTGCTGCGGTCTGAGGGTAGCCTGGACTACAGCGCAGGACTGTCTCAAACAAGGCCAAACTAAAAAACCCAAATAGCTGAGTTTAATCTGTTCAGCCTGTCCACTGTTGAGATGAGCTGTGAATGATGACTTGTGTAATTCTGATGATGTGTACTAAGTGTTCCTATTTGTGTTTCAAACTGGCACTGCACAATCTAAAGGCAAACAGAAAAATTCACACTAGTGATTTGAATTGTTGCCTTGGGAAGGAAAGACATTAAACTTAAAAAAAGAAGGCTTGAGGCTGAGTGCCTAGTTCCGGAGTAAAAATGTGTGTAGCTTGTGCAAGACCCTGGGTTCGTTTCCCAGCAATCTCTTCTCTCAGGAAGTAAAAACCATGAAGTTTCTGCCTGCAGTGGTTCTTCCTCTGCCATCTGAACAGGGAACTCCATAGTTTCAGTCTGCACTCCCTCCCTCTCACAGAAAAGGAACTCAGGCCACCTGGGGGTACTGAGCAGAGCAAGGGTACAACCCAGCACCTTCCCTTTGTTTCTTTTTCCTTTTTGAAATAGACTAAGGCATTCTAGGCTGGCTTCGACGACCTCCCTGCTGAGGGCGACCTTGAAGTCTTGGCCCTGTTGTCTCCCCTCTGAGTGTTGAGCTGCAGCTGTGCCCACCATGCCCTGTTTAACACAGAATATTTTCAGCGGGTCCCTTGTTCGGGAAGAGACCTGATGACAGAAATAGACTGAGAACAGCATGGCAAAGGAGGTCAGCTCAGGCACTGCGGTTAGGTGAGGTCACTCTGGATCTCATTTGAAGGCAGAGCTGACAAAATCTGCTGCTGTGTGCAAGGAAAACAGGAGTCGAGGATGATTGCGAGGCTTTTAGGCCAAACGAGAGAGAACCCCGACACTGAAGAGGTGGGGTGACAATGGAGACAGCAGGTTCCTGAGGTCAGAGTTCCCATTTTTCAAATTTGAATGAGGTGCTGGGGAGTAAACCCAAGCTGAGACATCCAGGAAAGAGATGAGGTGGGCAGTGTTCAGGAGCTGGGGACAGGCCTGGGATCTGTAGGATAACTGACTCTGCATGCCAGGCTCTACCTCTGAGCTGGATCCTGTGCCTTGTGAGCAATCTCTCCACAAGGGAGTGCAGCTAGAGCCCAAGTGGAAAGCTTGCAGTTCAGTGTACTTCAGTGTTTGGAAGTTGGGCAGATGGGAAAACCAGCAAGCAGACTGAACCAGCAGCCAGAAAGCTAGGAGCAGACTAACTGGAAGCTACAGCCCATGACAAATGCTGCCAGTAAGTTGTCATGGGAGGACTGTGAAGTAACCTGCTTAGCAATATGGAGGCCACTGACTGGCCACACAGTCGTGGTCTAGTAGGGAGCATGGCTGTCTGTCCATAGCATGTTCAAATAAGGATAAGGAGAGAAGCTGGGCACAGGGGGCTGGCAGGATTAAACACATCTGATACCTTGCATCTGGTTTAACAGTGGGTAAGTGCTCTACTACACTGAGGAGCATCCTCTCTATGGAGACACAAAACTAGACTTCACTCTCCAGTCTGTCTCTAGTATGTGAGGTTTAACAGTAGCTCTTGCCATTGCAATGTCAGCTACTTCTGAGCCTGGCCCTAGAAGTCTCCTGGGAGCTCCATGCTCTTGCCCCTTTGGCTGGAGGCAGCTGCAGAGAAGCCTTAGGGAATAACAGAATGTCAGCCTCACCCCCCCCCCATCCCCCATCAGTGCCTGCAGCATCCCCTCCAGAGGGACAGAACCGACTTCCTTTGGTTAAACTGCCTGGCAACAGTGAGCCCACTGCACGTGCACAGCAGGTGAAGCCAGCCATTTGCAGAACTCAGGTATGCAGTAGCAGTCCTACAAGGGGTGCTCCTATTGACCCAGCTGAGGCAGCCCCCTATCTTGGGAGCTGAATCTCTCCAGAAATGGGAATGTGTCAAGCACATTACTTCTCCCAGGACTACATGATTGGAACTGACTAGTCCAGCAGGCTAAGGTTCTGTGGATTCCCTGAAGGTTATACTCCTATGTGCTGAAGGGAAGAAACAGAAAAGTTTTAAAGAAACCCTGAGAGATGGGCACAGGCAGGCAGAGGACAGGAGATGCCAGGCTTTTTTCTTTCTTTCTTTTTTTTGATAACAGAGAGCATCAACGGAAGCTCCCGAACTCACAATTTTGCTTTAGTGGATTTTCAGGGCAAAGGTCTGTCTGTTTTTCTGGACAACTATCATCTTGTTACCACATTCTTTTTGTTTGTTTGTTTTTCAAGACACAGTTTCTCTATGTAGCCCAGGATACCATGGAACGCATTCTGTAGACCAGGCTGGCCTCAAACTCAAGAGATCGGGCTGCCTGTGCCTCTCAGGTGCTGGGATTAAAGGCACAAGCCACCGTTGCCCAGCTCTTTTTTTTCTATCTTTCTTTCTATCTGTCTGTCTATCTATTTATCTTCTTTATATATACGCATGTATATAATTTTTTAATTTAAATTTGAAACAAGCTTGTTTTACATATCAATCCCAGTTACCACACTCTCCCGTCCTTCCCTGTCCTCCCTCTACCTATTTTAGAGACAAGCTTTCTCTGTGTAACAAACAGCCCTGGTTGTCCTAGAACTCACTTTGCAGACCAGGCTGGCCTCAGACTCACAGAAATCTGCCTGCCTCTGCCTCCCAAGTGCTGGAATTAAAGGCATGCACCAATGCCCGGCTTGTCACACACAGTTTTAAAACATGCTGGAGATCAATCCCAAGGCCTCATGCATTCTACACAAGCAAGTGATTTACCAAGCAATTTACATTCCTAGCTCTCAAAGCGTTTCTGCCTGTCACTTCAACTAAATGAATCTTACTGGAAAGACAACCATTAAAATAGCAACTCACATTTAGGACTCTGTCCTAAGAATAAAGCATAGTGAGAATCTGGGAAACAATAGGCTGATGAATGTTTATTTGGGGAGAAATCACTTACACCAGACACAGATGACTACCGCAGGTTCCTGTTCCAAGGATGCCTCCAGATGCTCTCTGTCTCCAACCAGGAAATAAGAGAGCAAGCTGGGGCCCAGGACTCCGGACCTAGTCCCCCCAGGTCATGCCTGCATCTGTCCCCACGCCCCAATGGGTGAGGTCAGTGCCACAGGTGCCGGTGGGGTGAATATTTCACTACATAAGAAACTAGTACATAACTGGTTAAGTGAACAAAGAGATAGTTTACTGCAGATGCAGGGGATAGAGCCTGGTGGCAGAGTGCTTCTCTAGCATGCACAAAGCCTGGGTTCAATCCCAGCACTGAGGAACAAGTAAATGAAAATCTTCATTGCAGAGTTGTAAACCACAATAAAAATGACAATCAAAGTGCCCATCATTATGCGACTGATTATCTATCTACTCATCCAATAGGTGTTTATGTTGAACACTCACTGTGGACAGGGCCCATCAGAAAATAAAATAAGCAAAGTTTCTGCTCCCATGGAACTCTCAGTGTGGGCTGGATAATATCCATGGCATTTTTAGCTTCCACCAGGAAACTAAGAGTTGAGCCCCAACAATAAACTCAGGGTCCTAGGAGGAGAGAATTTGTGTCAAGGTCAGAAAGGAAGTTACTGTAGCTGCAGAATGAGAATAATGGGAGATGAGATAGGAACGCAGTATTAGGAAGAAGCAGGCAAGTGAAAGGCACAAGAAAGGACAGGACTTGGGGAAATGTGTGCTACCAAATTACTTAAATCGGCAAGTATGTAGAGATTTGAAGAAAGATGCTTGAGGGCACATGAAAATAAAGTGCATTCAACAGGGACATTCATAGGTATGCCTTGCATTCTGAGCCTGCCCCTTTCGTGCCCATCACCTCTGCCCCCACCATCACACTGCTATTCACCCCTACTTAGGCTTGACATTCTGTGATTATAGGTGGCTGTGAACTGCCAGGTGTGGGTGCTGGGAAACAAACTGCAAGAGCAGCAAGCTTTCTTAACCACTGGCAAATCTCCCCAGGTACTCCTGTTCCCTTATGTACCCTTGCTTTTTCAAGATGCTCATTTCGTTTTAAATTATGAATGTGTATGTGTGTATGCCCATGAATTATTTATTTCTCCTTCCACAAAGCACATCTGTGAGTGTAACACTGAAAACATTCCTACTTCCTATTGTCTCCTGGTGCCTGGCAAGCAGAAGGTACTTAAGAGACACTTGCTGAGCAAAGAAGTGAAGGGCAGAACCTGTCTAGGCACTGCTGCATCCACTGAAGCTCCAGGAAGAAGGGACCCAGGGTGCAGCAGCTCTCCGGGCTGAAGGGTGGGAGAAGGATGCTGGCCGCAGAAAGCGAGGCTGGTCAGAACTCACCCGCACGAAGGACTGCCTCTCTCCACAAGCCTTGCATGTCCATTTGAGACTCTTTTTCACCTACAATGAGATTTTAGAAATTACAGCTCAGACAACTGCACACAGCAAGGTGGAAGTGAATCAGAAAAAACTTAGCTGTACCCTCAGCCCTGAAGGCAGCATGTCAGGTGAGGAGGGAATGTAATATTTAATAGGTAATAGGTGGATGCTGGGAAAACAGATTTTTGCCACCTGAGGATCCAAAGAAGGAGGGAGGGAGAGAGAGAGAGAGAGAGAGAGAGAGAGAGAGAGAGAGAGAGAGAGAGAGAGAGAGGTTTCCATGGATAAGAGTACAGCTGAGTAAGCATAAGGACCTGAGGTCAGATCTCAGCAGCCACGTGAAAAACAGAATACAGCCACATGAGCCTGTATCCCCAGGACTGCTGAAGGTGGAAACAGGATCAGTGGGGATTGCTGGCTGCCAATCTGGCTTCAGGTTCAGTGACAGACCCTGTATCAGAGAAATAATGTGGAATGACCTTCCGACCTTCACATGTACACTTGCACACAAACATGCATAACCCCCCCACCCCCTCCCCAGGGCTGGGGATGTGTCTCAGGGCAGCTAGCCCGTGGTCAGGAGTTACTCTCCAACAGGAAAAAAAATTCTGTAACAGGGCTGGAGAGATGATTCAGTGGTTAAAAGAACTTGCTACTTTTCCAAGTTCAGTTCCTAGTACCCATCCATGTGGCACCTCTGAAATCCAACTCTAGATCTAACATCTTCTGGCTTCTGTGGGTACCACATTGCCTGTGGTGCAGGCATACATGCAGGCAAACATTTATACACATAAGATAAAGATTATACACATAAGATAAAGATAAATCTTTTTTTTAAAAATTAAGATACTAAAGCTACTTCATGAAATGTTATGCTTAACAACCCAAAGGGATCTGGGCTGATTCATAAGGTCGCTGTACCAGCATGGCATGGAGTCATAGACGTGTAATTTAAGTACTTGGGAGGCTGATACAAGGGGACTAGTAATTGGAGGGAATCTAAGGTAAATACTGACTTTGTGTCTTTAAAACACCCTCAAAACCAAACCAAATTCCACCCCGCAAAATAACACCATCACCATGACTGTGATTGCAGCTGGGGAGATAGCTCAGGAGAACTTGCCTAACAAAACCAAGTGAACAGAGGATCTAGAGCCTGGAGCTAGCTTGAGCTACAAAATAAAACCTTTCAAACAAGCACCCACCAACCACTATTCTGTTTAACTAGTTATCAGTGGTCCAGGCTCCAATGAGCAGAGGTTCCCCACAGATAAAGTTACACGCAGAGGTACCAAGTGAAACCAGGGCCCACACAGGGATTTATCAAAAAGGCATCCAAACTGCTTACATAGTAATTCGGGTTTGTTTGTTTTGAGATAGGTCTCTAGAATTCCTGTTGGTCTCCAACTGTTAAATCTTCCTACCCGCAGGGTAGGTAAGCACTCCACCTATGGAACTTTCCAAGCCAAGGGTTTTAAAAACTGTCCATTTACTATAATGAAATTGAGACGAGCCACTGAGTGAGAGGCTAGGTTCTACATAAAGGACGCTAGCACTCAACCTGGGTTCCAGACGACTCTGCTAGAATCTACTAGAAGCCGTCCCAGTAGAAACCATTACTGTGGTTTCTACAAGAATCACATAAAAACAAGCAAACAAAAAACGATACACAAGGGGCTGGGTGGTAGCGTGCCCACAGCCTAGAGCAGAACCCTTAGCAACAACAACAACAACAAAAAAAAACACAAACAAAACGGCTAGAGGCATGTTGTAAAGAGACAGCAACGAAGCACAGCCCTCGGCCTCGTCACTGTCCATGGCCATACAAGGCGCGGCCCGTCATAACTCCCCCATCATCCTGCGAAGAAAAAGGGTGAGGCAGGCGCCCACCCCACCTGATGCGCCTGAAAGAGGTGGCAGCTGCAGCACCGCAGAACCCGAGACTGCTGAGCCGGCGCCATACAGGCCTCAGTCTCCCGCCGAGAGCTTGCGTTGCGCATTCCCGCCCAGGCTCCGCCCACCCTACGTCGATTCCGGCCCCTCTACCCCAGCTCCACCTCTAATGCTCTAGCGCGTCTCTCAGCCTCTCACAGACGGCGTTGGCCCCGCCTTTGCACGCTCTCGAGCCGCTCTATCCCCCGGCTCATCTCGATGGACACTGGGGGCCCCATCAAGCCTCAAAAAAGGAGCCAGTGTTCCTGTGTTTGTGTGGGCGTCTCGTCCTTCACCTTGGCCTTCTGATTCCAAGCAGTGACGGTGTTTTTCTAAACCAGTCTTTCTGAGTCTTCAGCTGCCAGCTGCCTGTTTTGCCTGCATTCTTCTCTGCCCCTGTGACATTAAAAGAGGCGTGAGAGCTGTGGTTGGGGTTTGCAGAACATTTGGGCCATGGTGGGTTGTTAATTGGTCTTTGAGCCAGACTGACTCCGAAGCTGTGAGAGAACAGATACTTTTGCAAACAGAGGCATTTGCTAGATCCAGCTGAGAATGAAAACCGCCCTGTACTGTATGTAGTTCCTGGACAAAGCTCCACTCTGGAAGGGCGAGTAGTAAGTCACATATTTTTGTCTCAAACCCCAAGGCCCACCATCCAGCCAGGACATCAGTGCAGACATTGTAAACTAGTTTTTGTTTTGTTTTAAACTAAAGCTGGTGCATGATTGTTATCTCAGCACTCATAGGCAGAGGCAGGGGATGACAAGTTAAGGGTTATCTTCTGCTACAGAGTTTGAGGCGAGCCTGTATATTAAGAAAGGTGACCCAACTTCAGAAAAGAGAATGAAAGGAAGGAAAGAAAGCAAGCCATACGTTCTCACACATACATCAGAGTCTATAATATATGTGTTTATAATTGTGAGTAGTCTAAAATTTAGAAAGGAGACTAAGTAATTTAGGTGATGCTGCTGGATGGAATGTTGGCAAAAGGACAAATGAATCGTGAAAGAGCGTATAAAACTATTTCCCCCCTAGTTTCAACTATGTATGTATGTATGTAGTGGATATGTGAATTCAACTTTCTGGGTAATAAAGTAGCAATAAACATTTTTGCATTCTAAAAAAACAACAAAACGCCAGGTGGTGGTGATTGCCTTTAATCCCAGCACTCAGGAGGCAGAGGCAGTCAGATCTCTGTGAGTTCAAGGCCAGTCTGGTATACAGAGTGAGTTCCAGGACAGCTAGGAGTATTTCACAAAGAAACCCTGTCTTGAAAAACAAACAAAAAAAATCCTACATGTGACATTTCTGAGGCAGTGACTATGAAGCTGGCTTTCTCTTTAATCTCATTGCCTATTCCTTCAATAGGAATTAGACATGTGTCACTGGCTACATTTGTCACACTGACCCATTTACAAATTGATTTTTAACTGGTGGTAGCATACACCTTTAAATTCTAGCACTTGGAGGCAGAGGCAGGCAGATCGCTGTGAGTTCAAGGCCAGCCTGGTCTATACAGAGTGAGTTTCAGGACAGTCAAGGCTACAGAGGAACCCTGTCTCAAACCCCACTCCCCAAAAACATAGAATAAAAAAGTTCAGGGTCAGTGAGATGGCTCAGCGGGTGTCTTACAGGTTTTTGTTCTGTTTTGTTTTGTCTTATGGAGTTTCTCTGTGTAGCTATGGAGTGCTGGAATTAAAGGCATATGCCACCACCCCTGACTGTACTTTTTATATCATAAATTTTGTTGGAAGATTAGTGGCTGCCTAGGGCTGGGAGTTTTAAGAGGTATCTACTTACTGTAAGTGAATCCAAGGGGTCTTCCTGGGATGATAGAAATGACTCAGAATTGTGTTGAGGAGATGCTAACTCAGCAAGTTCACTAGAAACCACCCATTTGTATTTAAACCAATGTAAAGTTTTTATTTCCTATGTGTACAATGGTGTGTGCAGAGGCCAGATGAGCATGCTGGGTATCCTGCTTCATCACACTGCATGATTCCCTTGAGACAGGGTCTCTCACTGAGCCTGAAGCTAGCCTGAAGCACTGGGGTATAGGTAGGTGTTACAATGCCTAGCTTTTACATGGGTGCTAGGGTTAATTAAAATTTATGGCATTATTGTAAGTAACACCTAAAGCCATCTTATTTATTTTGGCTTTTTGAGACAGGGTCACAACATGTAGCCTAGGCTGGCCTCCAGCGAAGCAATTGTCCCTCCTCATTCACAAGTGCAGGACTATAGATGTGTCACCACACCTGCCACCAGAGATCCATTTGTTAGTAGAAGCAAGAGCAGCTCATGGGCAAATGGATGCTTACGGTCCACTCCTGCTCCTGTAACATAGCCAGGGTGTCTCTGAGCTGAGTCCTGCTCTGACTTAACACAGGAGGTTCCCCTCTGGCCATGTGTGTCTGCTCTCTTGAACTCAAGGGCAGGCAATCTGGTGTGGCCCAGGCCTGAGGACATGTCCATTGTACTGCACAGACCTTTGGACACTGACCCTAAGGCCTGTGACCATAGTTACCGTGTACCATGGAGGGCCTTACAGTTCCCCCCGCAGACTATGGCAACCAGGTTCCCTGATGTCCCACAATGCTTTGGGTCACACAGCTGACCTGGGGAGAATAAGGTTGGAGCAGTGGTTCAGGCCACATAAAGGCACTGTACACAGTGTGCTTTCTCTGTCTTTTAGGGATTTATTAAGGCATTGAGCACAGTGTGAGTTTTAGCCAACTAAAACAAGGGCAAGGGAATAGGAGGACCTGAGGGATGTGTCTCTAAAGTTAATGATGAGGAGCAATGGGAACCTCGTAGGTTAGGAGTGTAGTGCAAGGCTCCAGCCAGTGTAACAGACACCGAGTTCCTCAGTCCTAAAACCCAGGCTTAGGGTGAAGGACTTCAGAGGGTGCCTAGAAGGTTCTATCCATTGGAGCCCAAGTACATGACCAAGTGACAACTAGTAGCCGGACCACATGGCTTAGGTCTTTCCATAAATGGGAACAACTGGGGTAGTGTGTGCATGGACAAGAAGCAGGCAGGGACACATCCAAAAGCCTCTAATGCTATGGGAACAGCAGGCTCAAGGTAGGTTCTCCGGGTCCCTAGCCACAGGGAGGAAGAGGGTATCCTGGCTTAGGGAATCCTTGTAAGGCAACTGGGTCTCACTGGCCTGACCTTTGCTTCTATGACACTCTGCTTCAAGAACAGATGTGTCTTCAAGGAGAAAACAAAGGGAGAAAGGGAAGGAGACAGAGACCAGCTTCCATTTTGCAACTCAGCCCACGACCCCAGGAGGCTCATGGTCACTGGAGGTACTGAACTGTCTCTCCACTTTCTTTTGGTCCTTGATCTTGAGTCCGATGTCTACTCTCTTCTCAAAGAAGTTCACCAGCACAGACTCTGTTAGGATGGAGGCCAGGATCTGCTCGAAGGAAATGCACCAGTCTGTGTCCACGGTGCCCCCGATGCGTGAGGTGGCAGTGGGGCTTCCGGCTTCCCCCCCCACCAGCACTGTGTCATCTGTGAGGTCCTCACACTGCAGGGAGCCTGTGCTGACTACTGAGTAGGAGGACATGGACATGTCATCTTTGGTTTCATCGTCAGACAAAAGTAGGGAAGGAGAGCCCTGCCCCTCGCCACTGCCTCCCTCTATCACATGACTGTCCTGCAATGCTTTCCCAGGATGAGTGTCACCACTGGCTTTGGCCTGGGGGTCCCCTGCAGCTGGTGGCTGACATTCTCGTGTTGGGTCCTGATGAGGTTTGGGTGTGAGTGGTCCATCCTCCTCTGTGGCACTGTTATGGTCCCCACTGTGGGCACCATCCCTGGGCTTCTTGGCTGTCCGAGCTGAAAACTTCTTCCCCACTTCACCGATGCGGAGGAGAAGGCTGGCCACAGTGGCAATGGCATGGTACAAGTCCTGTTCCATGGGGTCTTCGCTAAACATGTTGTAAAGTGTCTTACACAGCTCAATGAATTGCTCCTTAGGGAGAAAGTCAGAAAGAAAATGGGTTATAGATGGGTAGTTGTGCTCTCCTATAGCCAACTGAAGATACAAGCCACTCTAACTGGTGTTGGGATTTGATACCACAATCCCATGTCTTATCATTCTCAGGTTAGGAAACTGAGGTTTGGGAAGGGAGTGACTCAACACCAATGCCACACAGTTCTTTCAAAGCCTTTCTTCCTAGTTGGCTTTGTTTGTGTGTTTTGTTTTTCTTCAGACAGGGTTTCTCTGTGGTATAGTTCTGGCTGTCCTGGAACTCACTCTTGTAGACCAATTTGGCCTCAAACTCCCTGAGATCCACCTGCCTCTGCCTTCCAAGTGCTGGGATTAAAGGCGTGGGCTACTGCCTGGCTATGGGCCCATTCTTCATGGAGTGCTTGGAATACATGGTCTTCTCTAGAAGGGCACAGTTAGGGTGAGGTTCAATCTGAGAGCTGGTTGGGTGTTTGTGAAAACATCATGCCCTGGATTGGGCCCACTGGAGTGCTCGTCTCAAAGGCTGTGTTCAGTCTCTGACTGGTGGAGACCAACTTTCCCCAGTGCTTCTGTGGTTAATGGATTCTGATTCAACCTAAGCAGGTGGTTACCATGGAAACACCATCCTGTCCAAGAAGTCACTTTTTGCCTTTCTGGAATCATCACTAATGACCATTCAGGACTGGACTAAGAGGCTCTAGAGACAGGGAAGAAAATTCTCACCCACAGGAGACTGCTAGAGTACAAGTAGTATGAGCTGTCCAAGCCCCAGGCATACAGAATTCTCTAGAAACATGTGCTGTAGATGCTGATCAAGTCTACCTGGTTCATCTTGGGAAGGTCCTTAATAGTTTCTTTCTGAGCCTCTTTCTCCTTAGCCCATATTCGAAGGTAGTGTCGGTAGTCAGGAGGGCTGGTCCCCTTCTCCTCTGCAAGTTAAGAGAGAGTGAGAGAGAGAGAGAGAGAGAGAGAGAGAGAGAGAGAGAGAGAGAGAGAGAGAGAGAGAGAGAGAGAGAGTAATCTCTGTCAAACAGAGAAAGCAGGCTATGGGCTGACAGCAGGATGGGCTTCTCTCTGACCTGAGGTTACTTGAATCCTATTACA